ATAGATGATAGATAGATAGATAGATGATAGATAGATAGATAGATAGATGATAGATAGATAGATAGATAGATAGATAGATAGATAGATAGATAGAAAAACAGATTGAGTATATACAGTTTTTCAGACTATACAATACAATGGTTATTGTGTCCGCTGAAGGCAGAATGGACTCAGAACATTTGTCCTTTTTTCACCATATTGGTCAGAGAACTAGTTATGGGTAAAGAACTCTGGATTTTTCCTTTCAGCATCTGTAGCCCTTTGAATCTGGACAATTCTAGGACTTCTGGTTCCCAGAAAGAGCCCTCAAATTTAGTTCCGTTTTAATTGTCTTTCAGTGGTCCCACTTTTACTTTAGACTGATATGTGAGGTGAGGTGGGACAAATACTGGTCATCCAGGGAGCCCTGGCATTCTAGACCCCCATGAATCTTTCTAAATGAATGCTCCAGGTTTTGTGTAGAACTCTAGAAAAGGAACAAGGAACCCTAGATACAGCAGATGATACAGAAAGGTTGTGACAAAACAGGCTGAGTTATCACATGGTGATATGGATTATTGTAATGGAGAGGCAAGAGTCTCTGGGTCAGGAATATGCAACAGGCTAGACACTCTGAAGATAAAATTTAGACCACTTTTTTTTCAGAGCTGAGGATCAAGCCTAAGGCCTTGTGCTTGCTAGACAAGCACTCTACCATTGTACTAAATCCCCATCGCCTGACTTTTAAGGACATACTTTAGAGAAAAGTCAGAGGGAAATGGAGGACTTAAGACTACCAATGTCTGATGCCATCTCATAGACTTCCCTAGAATGTGTTGGACTGATCGTGTTTGTCTTTGGGGGATGTTATTTTTATAAAGACAACAGACTTAGTCAGGGAGGGGGGGGGTTGCTAGCATTGAGCTCACCAGCACAAGGACACCCCACTCAATGATTAGTCTGGAATTCTTTAAGGAAGGAGGAGATACAGCAAGTTGATGAAATGAAATGTGGAAGTGCCTGCAGTTGAGAAGTGAGGATGAGGTGGGTCACTCCAGAAAGTTAACCAAGAAAAGTCAGAATAAGAAAAATTAAATATGGGAGGAACTCTGACAATATGTGAGAAAAGTCTTTATTTGTTAATGCTTTGGTGATTGGCATTACACATCATCCTGGGACTTTAAAAACTAATACAATGGGATCCTTCTTTGAGAAATCATTTCCACACTTGACATAATATTTTATATTAAGTCCAACTCTCTGAAATCTTGTAAAAAAAGAGGAACATTATGGACCATGTTTCTGTTAAAAGAAGTAGAAAAGAATTATTGAAGCAGATTTTGGGCTAGTCCAAGCTTCTTGGTAGGAAGGGTATTCCTATGTTACTGTTGTGACTTGTTTGTTCCTAAAAATATCAACTGAAGTCAAGATTTGGAGTTTTATCAGGCCAATACATCATGCACTATAACACCATTTGTATTATGCTATGTCCATATTCGTTGGTTACTCAGATGAGAGCTTGGATCATTATGGTGTGTGACACATCCTGGTTTGCATGTACTGAGGATGATAAGTGTAAATGGAATGTATGTGATCCACACAGTTGGTACTCAGGATGTCAACTTGTATCTGTACATGAAGTCTGTGAGTCTAAGATCTTCAATAAACATTCTTCTGTGTGTCTCTTTTGAGGCCTTCATTGACTGTAAAACATCGAGTGAAATTGAGGTCTGGGATCAGAGTGCCTCAAGGTTCCCTCTAACTACCACATATGTTAATGATGTCCATTTGCTTTCATCTGTAAGGGAGCCATCAGCTCAATTGACAACAATTGAGGTGTTTCTGGTTCCCTTTTGGTTAGGGTGTTGGATGAAGAAGAGAATATTCTGCCCACACATCCTTGAAGTTCAGGGCTTCTGAGTTTAATTCTTGCTCAGTAGGCTGCAGGTCTCCACTGATAGCAGTTTATGGTCAGGATGTTTCTTCTCTTGGATTGCCTGGACTCCTTTCACACAGGGCTTGGTCCTTGACTACTTGATATCAGGGTTTGGCTTAGGAAGAGTTCTCCATTGTGGTTGGAGCCGGTTCCATTTAAATTGTCTCTTTAAACTGTGCTTCCTAGGGTCAACGTTATGTCTGACCACGTATCTCTCATTGGGTTGACAGGAGCTCCCTTGATTTTAGACTTTGTGGTTTATCTTCATGAAGGTCTATTGTTGGCCTGTAACATTTCCACATTTGATTTTACCTGGCTTGTTCTATGAGTTTTGTATGAGCTCTGAATTCTTCCCAGTCAATATTTGCCCCAGAACTGCTTCTTCATTTGGTCCTTGGAGAATGTCCCAGGTCGTCCTCACTCCCTGTTTTGGTTCATGCTTTTGTCAGGGTAAGTGTTAGCACTCTTGCATTCTCCTTTTCATGCTTTGCCCCCGGCCTCTTTCATTTGAGGAATTGGTCTGGGCCCACATCCTTCCTTAGTTTGGCCCAGTCAATTCAGGGTCAGAGGTGTGCTGAGGCCAACTTCTCATCTTGGTGAAGGCTCTGGCTTCTGTCCAGGTAAAGTTTAGTCATGGATACTCTCCTTTTCTTTCTTTGAACCAGGTCTTTTTCTTCTGAGGGATCGGGTAGAACTCATCTCCCTCTTGGTTGGGGCCAGCCTTCTTTATGGTCAAGGTTAGGCATGGGTGTTCTTTTCTTTTCTTTTTGTTTCATTTTATTTTGTGACTTTTCCTTCTTCTCCTTTGCCCTTGGCTCTTCCATTTAATGGACAGGCCCAGGGATACCTCTGTTTTCCTCTGGGCCAGAGCTTATTCAGCTTCAGGTTTTGGTGAAGGCCTCTTTTAGGTCTGGTTTGGCCTTTTCATTCCTAGGGTTGGTCCCTGGCCTTTCTGGGTGAGGGAAGCCATTGCTAATGTAGGCATTATTTCTGGTCTTCACCAGGTTCATCCTTAGGCCTTGGAATACTTCTGTCTTGACATCATGGTTTAATGGTTAATCCTGGTCTACTTTCACTCTAGGTGCTTAGCATGGGTCTTTTCAGGGGCCATGTTGGCCTTGGGGTACTTTAAGGGTGTGCCTGTCTCCAGGCAGTTTTTGTGTTAGAGTTAAGCCTGGTTATATTGATATTCGGGGACCGTTGGTACCTGTTTCTCTTTAGGGTTGAAGCAGCAGATACTTTTGAGTGGAGGTTTGACTGGAGCTACTTTGTATTTGTAATTAGCCTTGGATTATGCTCAGCAATTCTGAATAAAAATAACATGTGGATATTGATAGAGGACTGTATTTATTGTTCTTCCCTTACATCTCAAGTATATCCTGAAGAACATTGGCTCTTTCCAAGGGAAATGGGCACAGATACCAACACACAGCACAGACTCCAGATGAAATAAACTATATATTACACAAATAGAAAGGGGAAGTAGGAAAGAGACAGTGGTGCTTGGGAGAGTCCTTGCTGTTACATTGGTGACTGTGACCATGGTAAAGAGGCACTATGAGCTCATGTGGAAAATTGTTGCTTCTCAATAAAGATAACAAAATAGAGTCCCAACAAGGTCCCTGCTGCCTTTCCTTCTGTCATCTGCTCCCATGAAGGGATATCACAGGGAGTTAATATAACAACAGAGGCTGGTCCTCCATTGATCTAGATGCTGCCTTGTTAGGCACATGAGGGTTGTGCAGATCTTCATGGGGACTCTTATGCAGTGTGGGCACGGTGTCCTCTCCTGTATGTCATTCATGGCATGCACTATGAGGCTGTTCCTCTGTTCCTTGCTATGGAAACACTTCTCAAAATGTCATTTGTCTTCTACCTTGAAAATCCCTTGAACAATGAACCTTGCCTTCGTGATCTCTTTCAAGAAAGCTCCTTGTCATGTCCACTCACTGATCTGAGATCAGGTCTTCCCACAAAGAATGTCTGCAATGACTTACCAGAAATTGATTCCTGCTCATGTTATTATTGTTGTGAATCACAGCCCACTTTAATAGAGTGAGCTGCCAACCTGTCAAGGGCACACATGTAACCATGACAATGATTCCTTATGTAGTGTCACAGAGGCCAGGCCACACTCTGCTCAGAGAAGCACAAAGGTGGTGAAGATATGCAGATGTCTTTGGACTAGTAATTAGGGGAGGCACCTGAAGGCTTCAGTTATCATCATTGCTTGGGGACAATTTCCCATCCAATCATCATTTCCTACTATAGAACTTCATTGCTGAGAAGAGGAAGGTCATTGGGGAAAGGTCAGACTCAGTCCATATGTACACGGTTCAAATATTGGTCTATCATTTCTGATGCTCATTTTATCATCAAGAGTCTCTCATCATGAGGCTTGTATTGTGCCATCTGCAGGACCTGCAGCTTGGGGAACAGAGCTGTTTGATATTTGCCCTCCAGCCTGTCCTTTCACCATCATTAAACACACCTTGAAGTGGGATTGGCCAGAAAGCAGAAAGCCATGTGGCTTTCCCTACCTCCTCTCATCATGGTAGTTGATGACTTCTGAGGCTGTCACTCACTGGATAGCAGTGTAACAGCAGTTCATCCTGTCCCATTTGGAAAGTGGAGTCCTGGGACAGGGGCTTTCTCTGCCTCAGCTGCTGTCACCTTTTCTAACAAACACAAGTGGAGATTAGGAGTAGAAAATAATGGACATATCCCACTCTGAGAATACCCCTTCCCAAACTCCCACTGTCCTTTGCCTTCATGCCTCTGTCCTTTCCTGAAAGTTTATCCCTCAAGGCTGGTCTCAGATTTCCAGCAATCCTTCCAACTCAGGGCCCTTTATTGTTGGGTTTCCTTTTTATTCTTCTTTTCCATGGATGTTTTTTTCCTGCCGAAACATGACATTTGAAGGACAATGGGAAGGAGGCATCTTAGAGTTCTGAGGAGTTCGTCAAGGTATCACAGTGTTCCATTCCTCTATCTTATTGCGGATGGAAACCTACACTTAAGAATTGTGGCATGCAAAAAGAAAACAAGCAAAACTGAATTAACATCTTTTTCTACTGGTCCTCAACCAATCAAATCTCAGTTATAAAAGAAAAACTGTGGGGAGATTCTTTCTAGATGAAGTGTAAGCATTGTGCTACCCTCAAAGCCAAGCAGAATTTAGGGAGGGTGGCATCAATTAACCAGCTATCTAATCACAGAGCTTGAAATCCTTTTCCTGTCTGCAGCAGCAGAATCTGGAAGAAGAGAAGTTATACAGTTGCCCAGCAGAGATGCCTCTTTGCTGTCTCAGTCTGGATGCCTGTCGCAACAGTTGCAGTAGAAACAGCCCACCTGGAAGTCTTCCTGTCAGCATCACTGGATCCTGGGAACCCACAATTTCCTGCTCTTCACCAAGTTCTGGATAGCCAGTAAGCCAAGTTAGACTTACTTGATGGGGGTGATTTCCTATAATCTGAATGTGCAGTGGAAGAGGAAGGAGAGACTTAAAACTTGTCTGTGCTTGGTGTCAAATGGTATCTGAGAGACTTAACATGTGACATAGATTGTAGATCTACATCTAAGAAAGATCCTGAAACACCTACACATTGTTAGTAACATGGTAGACAACATCAGTGCACTAGAAGCATGCAAGTTCCGTGCACAGAATGAAACATGATCAAGCATGCCCCACCCCACTGAAATAGTGCAACTAGCCCATCATAAAGGATGAGGGCACCATCAGAGTTGTGCCACAAAACACACATGCTTGTTTTCAAACAATACACACAAATATGTGCCCACATTCATACATTATAAACATGTATGTGTCTACACCTTTTCATGCACACACACACATACACACATACAAACACAAACACACACAGAATTATACTTTGAAATTAAATTAGATGTATAATAAATTGGCATAACAAGAAATTAAAAAGAAACAAACAACCTTTTTGGCATTGGTATGCATGTGTATGGTATGCATGTTGTATGCAGAACTATGAGTATAGTTAGTTGCATATTTTATAAGTATCTATATGATATACCTAATATGTACAATCATATCTAACTGCATATACATGTGTATATAAATATAAAGATAAACTGAAATCCCAACTTCCACACACCAGCCAAGGAGGCAGCAGAACTTTCCAAGTAGCTGGCTTGATGTGTTAGCTCTTTTCTACCTTCAACTCTGAGTGCCTGTTATGTTTATTAACAGTATCATTCATTTGAAACAAAATTCTGCACAAATTTTTCACAATGCCCTTTAATATTAAAATATTCTCTAACTTTCAGAACCACAAGAAAACACTCTAAGGCAGAGAGCCACGAGTTGTCATGAAAAGTACCAGGGAAGGGCCAATGAGATGGGTAGCTGGGTGGAAGGAAAGAGCTGACTCCTTCTAATTTGCTCATTGACCTCCATATGAACAGAATGACAGAATGGCATGGCATGTATTGTATGTTCATTCTCTCTCTTATGTATATATGTATGTATTTCCTCATCTCTAAATAAGTAAATAGATAGATGTTATTATTTTAAATACCAATCAGAAGATTTCTATACACTCATTATATGAAATACTTAATTTTTAAAAGAACAAAAAAAATCTTATGCAGCTCACAACTGTTTGTAATTCCAGGACCAGAGGTTTTGACACCCTCCCACAGGCATACATGAAGGCAAAACACCAATGTACAAAAATAATGAATAAACAATTAAATATTTGTAGGAGCTAGTGGGGTAAGGAGCCCCACAAGCATCCCACAGAACTAACTAACCTAGGCTCATAGTGACTCAGAGACTGAACCATGAACCAGGGAGCATGCGTGGGACTGACCTATGTCCTCTGTATATATTTTACAGTTGTATAACTTGATCTCCTTGTGAGACTCCTAACAGTGGGAGCAGGGCTTGTCTCTAATGCCTGCTTTGGGGACCCATTCTTCCTACTGAATTCCTGTGTCCAGCCTTAATATAAGAAGTCATGCCTAGTCTCACCACAACTTGATATCACACAGCAGGCAGATATGCATAGGAGGTCTGCCCATTTCTGAAGAGAAGGAGGAATGGATGGGGAACAGGAAGAGTGGAGGTGGGGGGAGGAATGGAGAGGAGAGGATGGAGGGGAAATTTTGGTTAGGATGTAAAAACAAAAATAAACAAATAAAAAAACCAAAATTATTCTAAAAGAGGGAGACTATTGATGCTTATCATATTTAAATTTGAGATACTAAAAGAATGTCCCTCCAGGGACATTGCCACTTATTCTAACTTATAATTTTTTGCCGTTGTACAGGGATTGCTGGGGATGTCTTTCTGTATGCTGTGAATGTGTTCCTCTGAGTGATTGATAAATAAACGCTGATTGGACAGTAGCCAGGCAGGAAGTATAGTATAGGCAGGATAAGCAGAGAGGAGAATGCTGGGAGTGGAAGGCTGAGTCAGGAGATGCCACCACAACCATGAGAAGTAAGATGTAAAGTACCAGTAAGCCACAAGCCACATGGCAACTTATAGATTAATAGAAATGGGTTAATTTAAGATATAAGAACTAGCTGGGTGGTGGTGGCGCACGCCTTTAATCCCAGCACTCCGGAGGCAGAGCCAGGCGGATCTCTGTGAGTTCGAGGCCAGCCTGGACTCTCAAGTGAGTTCCAGGAAAAGGTGCAAAAGTTACACAGAGAAACCCTGTCTCAAAAAACAAAAAAAGAATAAGATATAAGAACTAGATAGTAAAAAGCCTGCCATGGCCATACAGTTCATAAGTAATATAAGTCTCTGTGTGTTTACTTGGGTCTGAGCAGCTGCAGGAGCTGGATAGACACAGAAAAACTCCAACTACAAGGGATAATTAAATCATGTTAGGCATAATTTTGAGCTGGTCTAATACATAATGCCTTTGTGTTGTACTTGGAATAATTATACCATGTTTAGACAATATTAAGACCTGGTTATTGTTTTACATTTGGAAATTAAACATGACATAAAAAGATATAATTTTGTGTCAAGTTGACAAGGGTGCAATTGTGATAGCTATTTGTTTGTCAAATTTATTACATCTGGAATTCACTAAAACCCCAAAATGGAGGGGCATGCCTGTGAGGTGTTTTTGCTTAATTTGAAGAGAAAAGATCCACATGTAGTCCTGATCTTTGCATTAGGGAGAAGTTCTCTTAATCTGGATAATGATGAGGAAAGAAACACCTATAACTCATATGGTTTGATCCCTAAAACACCACCTGTAATCTCAGCCAGGCCTTGTGCTGGAAGCCCATATACAGAGATGGAAGAAGGGAGTTTTTTATCTTCAGCTGCTTGCTCTCACCTTGCTAGCAAGTCCATGCCTTCACTGCCATTGGAGCCAAATTCCTTGGGATTCCAGACTATACTGCTGATGGGCTGAGACATCAAGCATAGTGGATTGAGCAACTACTGGACATTGGATTATAGCCAGCCAATGTTCAATTAGCTGGACCACAACTTCTAAGTCATTCTAAAACACAGCCTTTTGTATATATATAAATTCATTCTGTTACCCCATAAAACCCTGACCAATGCACCAGACAGGTATAGAACTTTTAGAGTAGTTTGGGCCTGACAACAGCCTTATCTCAGTTATAAATTCCACATGGTTATATTCTCTTAGCCTGCTTTTTATTTTTTTCTTAAGAAATTTTCTACTCATTCCTCATGCTATCCACAGACCCCCTCCCTCCTCCTACCTCACAGCCCTCTTCCTCAAGCCACACCACATCCCCACATCCTACAAATCAAGGTCTCCCATGGGGAGTCAGCAGAGCCCAGCACACTGAGCGTAGGCAGGTCCAAGCCCCTTCCCACTGCACCAAGGCTGTGCAAGATGTCATACCACAGGCACCAGATTCCCAGAAGCCTGCCCATGCACCAGGGACAGATTCCGATAACCCTGCCTAGGTGCCCCCCAATGAGTTCTAGCCAAACAACTTTTCCGTGTCCAGAGGGCCTAGTCCAGTCCCATGGGGGCTCCACAGCCACCAGTC